GTATGGCCGCGCAGAGGTGCTGGGCTCGGACCTCTGAGCCTGCTGGGGAGCAACTCCACCAGATTTTGCTTTGGGCTGCCATCTTGGAACGGCTCCTGATGAGGTTGCATATCCACTTGACTCGGCACCTGTGTAGCTCACTTCATTTGGCGCCAATTCTCCGCTTTCGCGTGCTAGGATCACTGCCTGAGGGGTACGGCCCAACAGCCTCTTCTTTAGCTCTGTGAGTTCTCCTTGAGCGAATCCATTGTCTTGACCAGTTGCGATAAGTGACCTCCGAAACCCGCTGCTGATCTCTGCTGGCAGTAGGCCTGATATTCTTCCCAGTAAGGCTCCATAGCTGCTAAGCAAAATGAGCTTGCTTCTCGAACAATGCAGCTGCAAGACTAGAAGTTGAGCACATGCCTCCTGACCAGATTGCAAGACACAGAATGAAAGAGACTGAGCCAGGAGCAAGGGAGCGTCAATGTCAAAACTGCGACCTCAGATTACTTCCCAAATTGTCACTTAAGTGCAGCTGTGAGAAGGGAGCAACTCCTTACGCAACATTTCTTAACCCAGAGCACGAGCTTGCTCAAGTGAGCTTAAAAGCGCTGCTCTGTTGTCCTCATCGAGCAGCCTGTACAGGCGCTGCAGCGCAAGAGTTTCTGAGTCTCGGCCAAGAACGATTCTGGCGACAGCACTATACATGATCTCTGTTAGAGCAAGAGTGCTTTGTGATCTGATTTGGTGCTGAAGAAGTCTCAGAGCTGAAGACTGTGCTTCCTGAGATTGTTTGGGGCTCATTGTCTGCCACAGCGTGTTGTGGTGCTCGTCATTCTCACCGTATCCTTGACTGGTAATGCCATTCCACAATTGCTCAAAGTTGGCATACAGCAAGTGGAGGGAGTCCATTTCCTTGCTGGCGAGCTCCGCTACCACTTCTGTAGTCTGCCCATCTGCTCGTCTTCGAAAGTGAGAGACCCTCGACGAGATTTGCCTTGCAGAAGTGAACCGAAGTTCTAGGTCGAGTCTCAGGATTTGGCAGCAGCCTTCGATATGCATGTCCCTGATGATTTCCTCCCATGTGCCTAGTGCTGGTATTGCCATGCCTGATTAGCTTGAGCCAACTTATTCGGATATTGTCAGGGAGCAACTCCAAGCAAGCGGCGCGGGAACTGAAGCTTTGGTTTTCCTCTGACTGACGTGTCCCCAAGCGATAGTGCTCTGACTAACGCTCGAGCTT